CTCAAAAAGCCCCATGGAAGTCCTATCCTCATTCTACCCACACTTGGATCCTACAAATAAACTCCAACCTAGAATATTTGGGTGTGTATCCTTTTTGCATGTTCATAGTAACGAAAGGAGGAAATTGGACCCTAGGGCTGTCAAATGTGTATTCTTAGGGTACTCTACCACACAAAAAGGATACAAATGTTTTCACCCCCTATCAAAAAAATTCTATGTGTCAAGAGATGTCACCTTCAACGAACGAGAGAGCTACTTTGGGCAGCCTCATCTTCAGGGGGAGAATGTAAGAGAGGAAGATGAGACTCTCATGCTTCCAAATATGACATTTGGACCTGAAATTGGGACAAATGGCATTGCTGTCCCTGAAACTGAGAGAACAGCAGGACCTGCACTTGAACCAACAGCAGGACCTGCACTTGAACCAACAGCAGAACCTGCACCTACACCTGTACCTGAACCAACAGCAAGACCTGCACCTGAACCTGCACCTAATGGTGGAAAATTTGGGAAAAATCTGGTATATTCAAGGAGAGAAAAGGCCATTCTAGAATCTGGCAATGTCCAAGAGTCCAGCCCATCATCACTGCATGAGGTAACACTTCCGAATCCTATAAATTCCAATGATTCTAATGAGTTTGTTATTGAAAATTTAGAAGCACAGATGGACCAAAATCTAGACCTACCCATTGCCCTTAGAAAGGGAACTAGAGCATGCACCCAACAACCACTTTACCCACTATCAAATTTCTTATCCTTTGAAAAATTCTCACCTACCCATAAAACCTTCCTCACAAACCTCAACTCCACACACACACCTTCCTCTGTATCTGAAGCATTATCTAATATGAAATGGAAACAAGCCATGGATGTGGAAATGGAGGCGTTAAGCAAGAATAGAACATGGGAACTTGTCACCCTACCAATTGGAAAAAAAACAGTAGGATGCAAGTGGGTATATACAGTAAAGTATAGGGCTGATGGGACCATTGAACGTTACAAGGCAAGATTAGTGGCCAAAGGCTTCACTCAAACCTATGGAATTGATTACTTGGAAACATTTTCCCCGGTTGCTAAGATGAACACGGTCAGAGTAATATTGTCATTAGCAGCAAATTATGGTTGGGACCTGCAACAGTTCGATGTGAAGAATGCTTTTTTACATGGAGACCTTGAAGAAGAAATATACATGGAGTTGCCCCCTGGTTACAATGGACAGGTTGCTGCTGGAACTGTTTGTAAGCTAAGAAAGGCTCTATATGGGCTGAAACAATCCCCAAGAGCGTGGTTTGGAAGATTCACCAAGGTTATGTTAGGTCTGGGCTACAAACAGAGCCAAGGGGATCACACATTATTTATCAAACATTCAGTTTCAGGGGGAGTAACAATTTTATTGGTGTACGTAGATGATATTATAGTAAGTGGGGATGACAAAAAGGAGCAACAAATGTTAAGTGAATGCCTTGCCACGGAATTCGAGATCAAGACATTAGGGAGACTTAAATATTTTTTGGGAATTGAAGTGGCCCATTCCAAGAAAGGAATCTTCATATCTCAACAAAAGTATATTACTGACTTGCTTAAAGAAACAGGTAAGACAGCCTGTAGACCAGCAAGTACCCCAGTTGATCCAAATATAAAGCTGGGAAGTGCGGAGGAGGATATTGCAGTGGACAAGGAAATGTATCAAAGACTTGTGGGAAGACTTATTTACTTATCTCACACTAGACCAGACATTGCTTTTGCTGTAAGTCTAGTCAGCCAATTTATGCACCAACCAAAGGAAGCACATTTACAAGCTGCTCTTAGAATTGTCCAGTATTTGAAAGGGACCCCAGGAAGAGGGATTTTGTTCAAACGAAACAAGAGTGTAAGTCTTGAAGCATATACGGATGCGGACTATGCGGGGTCAGTGGTAGATAGGAGATCAACTACTGGATACTGCACCTTCCTTGGTGGAAACCTCGTGACTTGGAAGAGCAAAAAACAGAGTGTAGTAGCTAGATCGAGCGCAGAAGCAGAATTTCGAGCAATGGCCCAAGGAATATGTGAACTTCTATGGTTGAAGATTATATTGGAAGACTTGAAGATAAGATGGGATGAACCTATGAGGTTATATTGTGACAACAAATCTGCAATTAGTATAGCCCACAACCCGGTGCAGCATGATAGAACTAAACATATCGAGGTTGACAGACACTTCATCAAGGAAAAACTAGACAGTGGCATGATTTGCACACCATATGTATCCACTCAGAATCAACTTGCAGACATACTCACCAAGGGGCTGAACTGCAGTAACTTTGAAAGAATTATATCCAAGCTGGGAATGGAAAACACCTATTCACCAGCTTGAGGGGGAGTGTCAAAACAGTTATTGTCTTTATGTATTTTAGGAAGGTTTATATTTGCAGTAATTCTGTAACAGCTGTATATCTTGCTAATTATTAGGTTTATTTATTTAGGATCAATCCCATAATCACAAGGATTTGTTTCCTTAGAACTAGCTGTCCAATTCCCTAAAATAGACTACAAGCTCATGTATATATACAGGTCCAGTGACCTCATAATAATATAACAACAATATTATTTATTCTAAATTTGATAGATATAGATGAAAAGTATAAAAAATATAGTTCATGAATCATACTAACACTTATTTCTTGTGCTTTTCAGGTGAAACTGATGAAGATTTTGAGCAAACTGTCAACCTTATAAAGGAATACAAGTTCTCTCAAGTTCATATTTCACAATTTTATCCTCGACCAGGTGTGTAATCTAGCACATCAACATATTGAAAATCATAACTTCTTTTATTTAGGATGAAACTAAAATAGGTATCAAGCTACTAGGAGAGACAGGGTAGGTATCTTGGCTCCACTGGGTTCTGTGTGCAATGCAAGCACGGCTTGGTTGCTTTTTTCCTTTTGGAGGGGGGAAGATTTAGGTTGCCTTTTGACACACTCATAAGCTATTTTGGGAAGCTTATTGAAATGCGTTTAAAACAACTTGTTATATAATAAACTATTTTTGCAAGTATATATTCAAAAACTGGTTGGTATAAGTGCTTATGTCACGAGATAAGTTCAAACAAGCTTTTATTAAGCTGCCCCTTTGTGTAAGATGCTTATGCCATCTTTACTTTCATTTTGAAATATTTTCCTTGTCTTCACCAGACAATATTAATGACAGAAATTTGAACAGGGACACCTGCGGCAAGGATGAAAAAGGTTCCAAGCAATGTGGTGAAGAGAAGAAGCCGTGAACTGACAAATGTCTTTGAAGCTTTCACGCCATACGTAGGGATGGAAGGCAAAGTGGAAAAAATTTGGATTACTGATATTGCATCTGATGGGGTTCACTTGGTAAGGAAGTGTAGTAGATCTTGAATCATGATTTGATTTTCGCTGTTTTTAAATTTTTTCTATTAATTTTGGGATTTGTTGCAACCAGTACATGTGATTATGTTCTTGAAACCCTTTTATTATCATGAACCTGCTGAAGTGCCTGGATAAAGAAGTTTATTGTAGGCACCAGGTAGAGAGATGAGTTTTTCTCTCTCTCTCTCTCCCTCTATATTGTGACAAATATTGAAAACCAGTTATTTGTTTTACAATGTTTTCCTTAATATAATTCTGAGACTTTAGTTGGCTTACACTTGTTTGAATAGTCCAACACCGGCATGACACTCATATGGCACGAGTAGAACAATTCAGACAAGTGTTTTAAAAAAATTGTTTTTTTCTTTGCTTTAACACATCTTAAACATTTTTTGGACGAATTTCACAAATATAGAAGGATTAAACAGATAATAAATTTGATTAGAATATTTTTAATTTTTTAATAATAGATGAATAAATAAAGTTCAAAACTATCATATATGTAGTGACGTGTCCTGTTTTTTACATATTATCGTTGTCAGATATGTGTTGTGTACAGGTGTCCGTGTTAGAGTCCATCCCAAACTTGTGACTTCTGCATAATACTATAAGCTTGTTTATGGTATTTTTCATCTAATTAATTTTCTATTTAATGCTGAAGGTTGGTCATACAAAGGGATATATACAAGTTCTCGTAATTGCTCCAGACAATATGCTTGGAAGTTCAGCTAAGGCCAAGATAACATCTGTTGGAAGGTGGTCAGTTTTTGGGGAAGTAATTGAGACAATCAATCATCCAAGAGACAATAAAACTGTGAACAAACAAGTTCCTTATCAGGATATGTCTTCTCTCTGTTGTAACCAAACCAATACTTGTGTAATCTCAGAAGAGCCAGAATCTTGTGCTTGTGGAAATGTTGACAGCTGCTGCAGTCAGAATATTCTCGAGAAGACAGATAGTCCTAGAGACACTGTAGTGCTGCCACAGAATCAAAACAGCAACAAAAATTTGTTTGGATGGATACTGAGGAAGCGGAAGAATCTACACAAAAGGGTAGAAAGTGAACTTGCCTCAGGATCTGATGTAAAGCTAGAAAAGAGCATGCAAAAGTGGGACTTTGTTGATAAGGCTCTTTTGGGTGGAATCTCTATCAGCATCTTGACAATTATTGCGTTATTAGTCTGTCTTAGGTTCAGTGTCATTTGGTCGCAGTAAAAGGTTGTTACAGCATTTCATTTTAAAAAATTTATCTGGAGTCATTGATATTCCCAAGTTTTGCCTTACAAAAATTGAGGTTGTTGTATTAATAGTGTAATATGATTCATACATAATCCCTTTGCAGCAATATTTGACTGGTGTTGTAAACAATAATAGGAACTACATCATTTAATAGTTTAATAAAAGTTATTACAATTACAAGCATGAAGAAATGTTTATTTTGATAGCTGAAACTGAGAATCTTGGATATACATATAATGAAAGTGTGCCTTAGCTGAAGAAAGTAGAAGTGAACTATGCACATTATACCTATATAGTATATACCCTCTTTGATTTGGGTGCAATGGTGCAAGTTTGTTTATTCATATTTATTTGTGAACAATAATTCCACAATAGGAACATCAAAACATTGAATCTGATTTGGAAGGCAATCTCTTGAAGAAATTAACAGGTACTGATGGCATCCTGCTTCGAAACCGAGGATGACGAAGCATGAAGATGCCAACTATAATTGCTATTACTTGGAATGGAGTAATGTAAATGAACACAGCCCAGATCAGTGAGAAGATGATGAAGATAGATGTGGCCCTTGAATCTCGCCAACTTAGTATAGCTTGAGCTCTTTCACCTTGAGTAGCTAAATCTCCAACCACTGTCTGTACTCTACCTGCCACACTTCTCAATCTGTCATACCTCATTCTCACAATATCTGAAGGTCTTGTGGTTGGAAAAGTGTCGAATTCCTCGTCCAATTCATCTGGATGAACAGCTTCTGCTTGCGAAAGCCTAGCATCCATGTGAGGCGGATTCCTCGGCCGGAACCGGTAGTTCCAAATCCCGATCACAAACAAGTAAAGAAAAATGGTTGGCAGTATCAATTCAGGGTAGCAAACAAGTATCAAGAATAAAACATGAACAAGGCAAGTTGTCACCGGGTTTCTCCAAGTGCAAATGTCGTTAAGCCATTTACATACAGCTGTAAAACCCGAGAGCAGCGACATTATGCGATGAAAGTTGGCTTTGCTTCTCCTTAGACTCCACATATGGTAATCCACATCAAGCATGTACTCAACCGATTCGCGTCGAAGCGGTGGCTCAGCTCTTGCTAGCCTTGCAGCGACAATCTGCATGGCCTGATAACGAAGCCAATCAATGTGCCTAACAGGTATCGGTTGAACATAATGCATTTTCGGAAGCAAAGGTCGACTATATTGAGCTACCATATTAACCCAAGCTGTGCAAGTAAACCTCACAGCTAAATGAAGTTCCCCATTCTTCTTTAAGCCATTAGGTTGAAGAACCAATAGAGGGTAATAATGAGTATACACTCTATCAGTTTCAAGAGTTGACAACCTTATTCTCACCTTTCCGATTCTCTGATCTTTGTTGTCGCTGCTACCATTAATGTGGTGATTGTCGAAAACACTAACCGTGATCACGGTGCATGGATCATGAACTTCCCATGTATACTGCTCGTTCCATCGAGGTGATAACGTGTCAAGCAGAGTTCTTGTTCTAACCCATTTGTTGCCATACTTGGCCACACAGTATGCATCAGTAGTCCTACCGTCTTTTCCCTTCATAGGTAGCAAGTTCCGTGCACTAAGTATCCCGACTTCGAGAATTCCAATGTTTCTCTTCCTCAAGTGTTTCGAAGACGGTTGAAGATCGCTGCTGAAATGTGTGGACTCATCAAGAACATGATACCCCGCCTCTAGACAAATCCGAAGGTGAATCTTACTCGAGAATTTCTCCTTCTTTCTCTCCGTTTCTTCCTCGCCGACCGCACTAGGCCTATGAAGATTGAACCAGCGAGAATCCGGTAGCTTTCCAGTCTCCATTCTCTGCGGAACATTTCTCACCGACATAATCTCCCTTCCCAAGATTTCAATATTGTTAGGACCAAACTTATCCTCAACTGTCACAACTATAAATTCCTCAAAAGGCTCGGCTGCCACGAACATAAGCTCCTCGTTCCAAATGGGATTAACAGCTCTCATTTGAGAAGGCCTTGTGAACCTCATCTGACTTCCTAGCTGAACCCTAACCGAAGCTTGCGGCACTCTTCCTTTATCAGAAGGAACCAAATCTTGAGCTTCAATAACTTCAATTCTAAGATAATAAAGCTTCGGCGTAAAATACACTTTCGACCGTGTATTCGCAAGATTATGGTGACTTATATTATGAGCATCCGAATGCCACGCCTCAGGAAAAGACTCATCGGCTTGTGTTCCCATCCAAACCGCAAGCATGATTTCACCATTATGTATCTTCATCCCTTTCTTATCTTCCAATCTATACCACTGAGGAGCCAAAGGACTATCCGGCGGAACCCTCACCGGCATCTCAGTGAGATCAAACATAATCCTACCAACAAAATCATCTTTACCAATATCCTTATCCTTCACAGTAACTTCAAGTAAATTCGACTGCAACCTCTCCTTCGAAAACGCGAAGATTTGCTTCCAAACAGGATGCTGATTCTTGTCTAAATGCTTAGTAACACCTTTGTAGTTACCAAGTTTCACTTCCACATAAGGGTCAAGACTACCTGTGATATCCATCACAGGAAGATCCTTTGCTTTCACAACATTCACATACAAAAAATGCATTTGTTCAACCAAATCATAAGTAGTTGATACCTTGTTTCCTCCTTTATACCTCAACCTAGCTGCAAGTGGTGGAGCTGTTTCAACCAATGCATATTCTGGATTCTGCCTTGGGATCTGCATTAGCATAGCATTAGGAGGTCCTGATTTTGCTAAATCAACTCTTGTTTGAGTTTCAACTGTTGGTTGCACAAAAGATTGAAACTTTGGAGCATGAACAGGAGCAAAAGCAGAAGCAGGAGCATGAGAATGACTATGGCCATGACCATGACCATGACCATGAGAAGAAGGTTTCTCAGTTCCAATGGAATGAAAAGTTCTAACTTCTTTCTCTTTCTTCTTATTATTCTTCTTCTTTTTCTCACTATCACTAACCATACTTTCTTCATCTTCCATGTGTATGTTAGTGTTGATTTCTTGTAAAGGAATCTCCTCATCAGGATCAGGCTCAAGAGTTTCAGCATAAGAGTTTGGTTTTGCTTGTGAATGTTGTGGAGGATGGTGTGTATTAGCAAAAGGGTCATGAAAAGCAAACATTCTTAAAGCAATATCCCCTTTAGAATGTTCAAGAGGGTAACGTTTAAGACTAGATTCAGATTCAGAATAAGGAATAGAATTACCTGAAATTCTCACCTTTCCAAGAAGATTCTTTTTACTAGTTGGTTTTTTCTCATTGTGGTTGAACACAACAACCTCAATTGTTTGGTGAGATAGATCTCTTGATGTGTTTATGTTGAGAACAAACTTTTCATCGAAATAAGGATTAAGATCTTTGTGTTTGGTTTGTGTTTTTACTTGTTGCTCATCAAAGTTTATTTGAACAAAAGGGTTTGATGAAGCTTTTCCATCTTTTGGCATTAGGTTACTTGCATCATGAACTTCTACTACTAGTTTGTTCATCATGAATGATGATGGTGTGATGATTTTAGTGAAACTATAGATTTTGGAATTAGGAGGCTAAATTGGAGTTGGAGAGTTCATTGTTCAATAATGATGTATTTGTGAGGAAAATAAGATATTTTTTGAAGTGGTGAGTGATGAAGGAAAAGAGTTGTTGGTTGGAAAGGAAAAGAAGAAGACATAAATGAGAATAGGAGAGAGGGGCCAAGAGTAGGAGGTAGTGGTGTTGATGAGATGCTCATTTGGAGTATAAAGACAGAAACATTTGTTGAAGAGAGAGAGAGAGATGATATTTGGTGGCCCCTTGATTGATTCATATGGCTTTGTTAGATAGGTGGGATATTCTAGTGGGTACCTTCCTCTTTGCTTAGGGTGAATGGTTTTGAAATGAAAAGTAACTACAAAATCATATGTTTATTTACTTTAAGACTAATTAGTAATTTACATGCACGATTGGGCTTTTAGTCTAAAAGAACAATTGTACCAAAATGGAACAAAGAATTAGTCTCAAAGTAAAGATAAATGTTTCATTCATTTCAATTTTTTTAAAATTTTATCTTTTATAATAAATATTTATGCCTATTTTATTAAAGAAATTATTTAAAATTAAATTTTATTACTATTATTTTTGACCGATCACAATTCAATAAAAAAATTAATTATCGGTCCAAGACTATTCTATCAAAATTAAGAATGACAATATTGTTAAATTGTAATTCAATGTGTCGAAACTATGTGTCGAAAAGATTTGATTTGTTTTAGATTTAAATAGATTTGATTTAAGTCTAGAATAAATTAGATTTGATTTAGTAATAAAAAGATATTTTGGGCTTTGGGCTTAGGGTGTAAGCTCAGTTATAAATAGAGGGAGTAACCTCTATTTTTGTAAGCAAGTTAAGCAAGTCATTCACAGTATTTTGCAGTTGTAAAGTGAATAAGAAAGTTTTCACAGTTTGTGAGCAGAGAGAAACTCTGCAGAAATTATTTGTCTTGTCTTCTTTTCTTTGTTTGTCTTATAATTAAATTGTCATTGTGGTAGAAATTCATCATAGACTTTGGTGGATTTCCAACATCTGATATCAGAGCTTTTGTTTCGATTCAAGGGAAGTATCAATCAAGAACGATTGAAGAATTCGCGATGACAAGTTATGGGAATGCAAACTATCCAGCAACGCTACCAATTCTGAAAGTTGACAACTATGAGAATTGGTACAAACAGATGAAAGTCTTATTCAGGTGTCAAGGTCTTTGGGACCTTGTAAAAGATGGAGTCGAAGCGCTTGGAAAAAACGCTTCAGAAGAAGAAAAGAAGAAATACATAGAATCTGAGAAGCCGAGTTATAAAACATTATTTATAATTCATCAATGTGTCAGCCCAGACAATTTCGAAAAGGTTAATGATTCAGAATCTGTAAAAGAAGCTTGGGAAATCCTTGAGAAGTCTTTTGGAGGCGCTGAGAAAGTGAAAGAAGTGAGGTTACAAACTCACAAAAGGACCTATGAACTGCTTCAGATGGAAGACAGTGAAAGCATATCTGATTTCTTCACTAGAGTTACAAAACTAGTAAATCAAATCAAGATATGTGGAGAAGCGTTAACAACAAGAGTTGTTGTGTCGAAGATCTTGAGATCTTTAGCTCCTAAGTTCGACCACATAGTGGTGGCGATAGAAGATGGGAAAGACTTGTCGAAATTAACAAAGGAAGAGCTTCAAGGGACACTTTAATCTCATGAACAAAGAATGAATGAAAGAGCTGCAGGAAAATCAAAGAGTGATGTGGCCTTGCAGGCACATTCAACAAAAGAGACCAAAGGCAAAGGAAAGTGTTTCGACAGAGGTAGAGGTGGCTACAACAAATCGAATGGTAGAGGAAACCAGATTGAAGGAAACGTATCGAATCAAAGAAGACCATACCAAGGCAACCAAAGAGGTGGTGTTTCAAATAAAGAAGGAGGTGGTGGTCGAAAACCTGATAAGAGTCACATTTAATGTTACAATTGTCAGAAGTATGGTCATTATTCGAGTGATTGTCCAGAAAAACGAAAGAATCAAGAAAGTGATGCAAAGCTTGCAAAACATGAAGAAGAAGAGAAGAGATGATGCTGATGGTCACAACAAGAGATGAAGATGGATTCAAGGACCAATGGTACTTGGATTCAGGATGTTCATCACATATGTCTGGAAGGAAAGACTGGTTCGTTAATATAAAGCCCTCAATGAAAAATATGGTAAAATTTTCAAATGACAATACCCTGGCAGCTGAAGGTATTGGTGATGTTATAATTATGAGGAAAGATGGCAAAAGGTCAGTAATCTCCAATGTGTTGTACATACCAGGCATGAAGAGCAATTTGCTCAGTATAGGGCAGTTGGTCGAAAAGAATTATAAAGTGTCAATCGAAGATAAGATGATGAGAGTCGTTGATGCAAATGGGAGATTAATCTTGAAGGCTCCTATGTCTCAGAATCGAACCTTCAAGATTGAACTAAATGTGATGGAGCACAAGTTCCTTTCGACTGCAGCTAGCAGAGATGAATGGATATGGCATTATAGACTAGGTCATCTCAACTTCAGAGACATCAGAGATTTGAAGAGAAGAAATATGGTTTCAGGATTGCCAGAAATTGACATTCCAAACGAGGTATGTGAGGAATGTGTGTAGGCGAAGCAACAAAAGAATAGCTTCAGCAAGGATGTATGAAGCAGGTCGAAGGCTAGTCTTGAAGTCATATACTATGATGTATGTGGACCAATCCAGGTGGATTCGATGAGAGGTAACAAATACTTTGTTACATTCATAGATGATTTTAGTCAAAAGCTATGGACTTACCTGATCAAGAAGAAAAGTGAAGTGATCGAAGTATTTACCAAGTTTAAGTCTATGGTCGAAAGATAAAGTGGTCGAAAGCTCAAAGTTTTGAGAACTGATGGTGGTGGAGAATATGTGTCGAAAGACTTCGACATGCTATCTGAAAAGGAAGGGATTGTGCATGAGGTGGTGCCACCCTATACTCCACAACAAAATGGAATTGCAGAAAGGAAAAATCGAACCATCATGAATATGGTGAGAAGTATGTTGAAAGGCAAGAATTTACCTAAAGAGTTTTGGGGTGAAGCTGTTTCAACTGCAACATACATTTTGAACAGATGTCCTACAAAGAAGCTAGAAGGAATTACTCCAGAAGAATGTTGGTCTGGTGTGAAGCCTAGCTTGAGTCATCTGAAGGTATTTGGATCTATTGCACATAGACATGTGCCAGATCAGTTGAGAAGAAAACTTGATGATAACTCAAGTCAAATGATTCTAGTTGGATATCATTCGATAGGAGGCTACAAGTTGTTCAATCCAGTGAAAAAGCAGATTGTGATCAGCGGGAACGTGATCATAGATGAGTTTAAAGAATGAGATTGGACTGAAAATATCAAGAAAGATTCAGTGGGAATCCTTCTTGAAGATCCAGAAACTCAAGTCGAAAGAGAAGTTCGACAAGAGGAACCAGCAGATATACCAATTACAAGCAGGTCTCAAAGAACAAGACGCATGCCTGCAAGATTACAAGATTGTGTGATTACATCAGATGATGTAATAGATAATGACGGTGAGCTGGTACATTATGCTTTCTATGCAGATGTCGAACCCGTTAATGCAGCTGAAGCATTAAAGGATTTGAAGTGGGTGAAAGCAATGAACGAAGAAGTAAAGTCTATCGAAGACAACAACACTTGGTCACTTGTAGAATTGGCTCAAGGCAAGAAGGAAATTGATGTCAAGTGGGTATACAAAGTGAAAACGAATTCGAAAGGTGAAGTAACTCGACACAAAGCAAGACTTGTGGCGAAAGGATTTCTACAGAAAGAAGGAATAGACTTCGATGAAGTTTTTGCACCTGTTGCTAGGATCGAAACAATCAGGTTGGTTGTTGGTCTAGCAGAAATAAACAGTTGGCACATATGTCAGATGGACGTGAAATGTGCATTCCTAAATGGACCCTTAGATGAAGAAGCCTATGTTAAACAACCAGTTGGGTTTGTGAAACATGACGAAGAAAGAAAGGTGTACGGGCTACATAAAGCCCTGTATGGATTGAAACAAGCTCCAAGGGCTTGGAATAAGAAAATTGATAGTTTTCTAAGGGAGAAGGAATTTGTGAAGTGCACAACTGAACATGGAGTATATGTAAGAAGAAGCAAGAGTAAATTGCTTATACTATGTCTCTATGTAGATGATTTGTTGATAACAGGTAGCTGTAAAAGTGAGATCAAAGACTTCAAAGGTGATCTCAGCAATGAATTTGAAATGTTTGATTTGGGTGAGATTTCATATTTCCTTGGTATCAAATTCTACAAGAGCAGTAGAGGTTTGATGATGCATCAAAGAAGATATGCAGGAGAAATTCTCAAGAGGTTTGAGATGGAAGAATGCAACTCAACTCCGACACCTGCAAAACCAAGACTTCAACTGTCGAAAGATGCAGATGAAGATGATGTTGATCCAACCCAATACAGAAGACTTATTGGATCATTGAGATATTTTTGTCATACAAGGCCTGACTTAGCATATAGTATAGGTATGGTAAGTAGATTCATGCAGAAGCCAAAGGTATCACATCTAGCAGTAGTGAAGAGGATACTAAGGTATCTCAAAGGAACTTTCGATTATAGCATTTTGTTTCCTGTAGCTGATAAAGGAAAAGAATGCAAGTTAGTGGGATACACTGATTCGAGTTGGTGTAGTGATGTTGAAGATCGAAAGTCAACAGCAGGATATGTGTTTATGCTAGGTGGTGCACCAGTTTCTTGGAATTCAAGAAAGGAACCAGTAGTGGTATTATCATCATGCGAAGCAGAATACATAGTTGCTTCTCTTTGTGCATGTCAAGCAACTTGGATGGTGAACTTGGTCGAAGAGATAACAGGGAAAAATTATGGAGCAGTTACCATGAAGATAGACAACATGTCAGCTATTAATCTGGCGAAGAACCCAATAGCACATGGTCGAAG